CCTCTCCCCCGCTGCTCGCCGCCTGCTCTGCCGCGCTCCTTGCAGCCTGCTCTGCCTCTGTTCGGCGTTGTCCCGCACTCTGCAGGTGCTCCGACGCACTGTTTGCAGCCTGCTCTGCCCCGCTGCTCGCCGCCTGCTCTGCCGCGCTCCTCGCAGCCTGCTCCGCCTCTGTTCGGTGTCGTCCCGCACTCCGCTGCTCGCAGCCTACTCTGCCATGCTGCTCGCAGCCTACTCTGCCTCCACTCGGCATCGTCCCACACTCCGTGGGCGGCGGCTGATCCCCTGCTCATTGGGGCTCCGTGCCCCAGCTCTCTCCCTTCAGCCGCCCCGCTACCTCGGCGGGGCCGCCATTTGTTTCTCCCGTCCGGCGTGCCCCGCCCCCGCCGTTCCGCCGCAGCCGGATAAACGCCCGGCTGACGACCCGCGCCGGTGGAGTTTCCTCGGCTCCTCCGGCCCTGCGGGAGGTAAGCAGACCCCTTGGCCGCCGCGGGGGTCTCCCAGTGCCCCCGCTCCCCTGGGACAGTCATTAAAAGGAGCGAGGAACGAATCTGTCCCAACAGAGTGCATCCAATAAAAAAAAGACAAGAGAATGTGAGAAACATGTTTATGTCTCTTTCAGCTATGCTGGAGGAGATGTCTAGTGCAGGGAGCTCATGATAAATCACAAAAATAATTCATTAAGAAGGCTTTGGGTAAGTTTAACTGTGTTTGTTGGTATACTTCTAAATTCCTGCACTTCTGCATAAACTATGCTTCACAAAAAATTAACATTTTGTTTCCTCAGAAGCATAGACATGTCTTCATCACCAAATTTTGTATGTAAAGTATTTTATTAGGAAGACCATTTTTGTTTGTTCAGAAAAGTTTCCCATCTATATACGAAGGGGGATATATATAAGTAACTTATGTACTCTCTCTCTCTCTCTCTCACACACACACACACACACACACACACACACACACACACACACACACACACACACACAGAGTACCTTCTGTAGATATATAAAACTAGTTTAGAGAACAACACTAGAAAAAGGATTAAAATGGAACCTTCCTATTCTGGGTGTATTACTATATTGTTTTTAAAATGTTATTCCTCTGAACATCATAGTGGGCTGTTTAATGGGATAATTTTTTCAAGTAAGAGCAATTTCACTGCAGTCTCTCAACCTCCTGCCTATGCAGGGGGTTGGACTCGATGATCTATTGAGGTCCCTTCCGACCCTAACATCTATGAACCTATGAATCCTCTGGCTTCTCACCTGTTAAGTTTCATTTTGGGATTAAAATAGGAATCTGTTTTCTGAGGTGTGGAGTAGTTAGGAAGAACTTGTACATCTGTGTCTGCTTCTTTCAGCACTTCAAGAGAAGACTTAGGAGCAGGGGCTAAAAGTATTTTGTGGAGAAAGAAGAATTAATGAGAATTTTAATTAATAATTTTAATTTTATGAAACAAGTAAACAGACAGCTCACAAATAGTTAGGGCCCAAATCCCACTGATGCCAAACATGATGGCTACTGACGTGGTAAAAACCAAACCAAACCAAACCAAAAATAAACAAGGCTTTACCGGAAGAGGAATCACATCAGTTTGACTGGGCTCCCCAGCATCTGTATGAGCTTTATAGATGCTGGATGAGCTGAGTCAGACTGACACAATTCCTCTTCTGGTCAAGTGCTGCACTCAGCATGGGGGCACACCAACCTGAAAGTAAAGTGCTGTTTGTTTTTTACCCCATGTCTGTAAGCACCCAATAATCGTTAACATGCAGGGGCCGGCTTGTTAGTCTTTTCTGACACAGAATGTTATCATAAGATGTTTACCCTGGCAGACTTTTGGGCAAATTCTATACAATTTATCTCCTGTAAAATGCCAAAGCCATCATACATCAAGGCTACTAAACTTTCTCCTAAGAAAGAAATTCTTTTCAGATTTATTCAATATGAAGAGAAAGGAGATGCTATAAAAAAAGTCTAGCTTCAGGGCAAAGAATACAGCTGAGCCTGTGATAATTGATCATGTACTTTTCCATATAAAATAATCCCTAAGGGATTAAAGTCGGTCCAAGAGCTAGAAGACTTCCATTTCTGTTTGACAATCAATTCTAATTATTCCTCTTCTAAAGGGATGGCATGCCCTTTGGATTTGCGAATGTACTATTTTGAATTGAGTGTAACTGAAGGGAGCTGTTTTGTTTTGCACACTTAAACATCTCCTTCCACCTTGTTGCATCTTTATCTATCCCTTCCGGATCAGTTTATGTCAGGGATGGGAAAAGTCCGGACTGTGGGCCGGATCTGGTTGGCAGTGGACTCCATTTCCTAGTGCATGGCTGGGGCCGGTCTCCATGGAGACCCCAGCTGCAGCTGTGTGGGAAAGCTCAAGGTTGGGGCTGCCACAGAGACTAGTTGCAGCTGCGCTGCTAGCACGCATGGCAGAGCAGGGAAGGGGGAACTTGCGATGGGGGCAGCTTGCTCTGGAGCCAGGGTAGAGCCATAATTTGTAGCCCGCATGCTCTGGGCAGGGGCACACAAGCAGGGGAGCTGGGAGCAGGGTCACGATCCCCTGCTTGCAAGGAGCCGGGGCAGAGCTGCGATCTCCTGCTTGTGCGTTCACTGCCCCGCTCTGCCATGTGCATTGCCAGTGTGGCTGCAGCTGGTCTCCATGACAACCCCAGCCTTGAGCTTCCCCACACAGCAGCTGGGGTCTCCATGGAGACCAGCCCCAGCCATGCGCAGGGACGGCTGGGAAACGGAGTCTGGCTGCTGGCCAGATTCGCCATTTTGCCTACCCCTGGTTTAAGTTATCCTCCCACCGATGCCTTGGTCTACACTGAGATCTGATATCCTCCGCCTCAGCTTCCAATCTGCCTCACATGCCTTGTCTCATTGATTCTTGTGATATGCCCTGTACATTTCATTCTCCTTCTTCTATCTTGCTCAAGACATCAGGTCTTTTGTAAAGGTCAACAATGTGGAAAATGTAG